CCCAGTATAAATCCAAATGGACTTCAGTATAAAATACAGATATTGTACCTTATTTGGAGCTCATTTTATACTGGTGGTATTTGGGGTTTATACTGAATGATGCGAGGCAAGCTCCCAGTATAAATCCAAATGGACTTCAGTATAAAATACAGATATTGTACCTTATTTGGAGCTCATTTTATACTGGTGGTATTTGGGGTTTATACTGAATGATTCGAGGCAAGCTCCCAGTATAAATCCAAATGGAGTTCAGTATAAAATACAGATATTGTACCTTATTTGGAGCTCATTTTATACTGGTGGTATTTGGGGTTTATACTGAATGATGCGGGGCAAGCTCCCAGTATAAATCCAAATGGACTTCAGTATAAAAACATTGCTTTACAGTCTCAGAATACTAGTTTATACTGGTGGGCTTTTGTGTTTATACTGAATGGTGGTTTGTGGCCAACTATGTTTTGGTGGCTTGCTCAACAAGTCTTAACTGTATTTTATACTGGTGGTATTTGGGGTTTATACTGAATGATGCGAGGCAAGCTCCCAGTATAAATCCAAATGGACTTCAGTATAAAATACAGATATTGTACCTTATTTGGAGCTCATTTTATACTGGTGGTATTTGGGGTTTATACTGAATGATGCGGGGCAAGCTCCCAGTATAAATCCAAATGGACTTCAGTATAAAAACATTGCTTTACAGTCTCAGAATACTAGTTTATACTGGTGGGCTTTTGTGTTTATACTGAATGGTGGTTTGTGGCCAACTATGTTTTGGTGGCTTGCTCAACAAGTCTTAACTGTATTTTATACTGGTGGTATTTGGGGTTTATACTGAATGATGCGAGGCAAGCTCCCAGTATAAATCCAAATGGACTTCAGTATAAAATACAGATATTGTACCTTATTTGGAGCTCATTTTATACTGGTGGTATTTTGGGTTTATACTGAATGATGCGGGGCAAGCTCCCAGTATAAATCCAAATGGACTTCAGTATAAAAACATTGCTTTACAGTCTCAGAATACTAGTTTATACTGGTGGGCTTTTGTGTTTATACTGAATGGTGGTTTGTGGCCAACTATGTTTGGTTATTCGGTCATCCCTCTATTTGATACTGGTGGCCTCTTGTATTTATACTGAACGATGGGGTGTAACTTGCTCGACAAGTCTTAACTGTATTTTATACTGGCGGGATTGGGGGTTTATACTGAACGAGAAACATAGTTGACTTGACACACAGCGGCAAACCTAACACGGGAAATCCAGAATCTAAATTGAGGAATCAATATTGCATCCCAGCTTAGCTCGAAACGGAAACTCCGGCACATCAGCTGCAGCGGCCACACTGACCTCAGACAGTGGCTTTGCGAAAACCAATCAAATATTTAAGATGCTCCCTAGACAGCTGTGTGCAGAATGTCACGTCACTATTTCCTTTGCCGCACACCTGCGACAGCAACGGAGGCTGTCACCGGTTAACAAAAAACAGTCGGCCGACAGCAGCCGGCCGACAGCCTTTAGGGCAGGCCTACAGGGCGGCAGTGCGCATCATGAAAATTGCCATCAAGTTGCTCCCTAGATCGCTGGGCGCATGCCTGTAACACTCACCAGTCCAATCGTTTCTGACACACCACCGCAATCAAAAAAACCTTCCAGGGAAGTGAATCGGCAACACAGTCTCCAGACCCTGGAAAATCTGAACACAAGGGCGACGGCCGACATGCAGCTTCACCAGTTAATGTAGCAACAGCTTCAGAACGCACACATGCAATGCCTTACAGTTTACGGCTTCAAAACTGGTTCACTCTCATGCGCATCATATCGGCCTGCTCACCCTTATGCTGCATCACCCTCAGCCTGCTCAGCCTTGCGATTCAGGCTTGCATCACCCTCAGCCTGCTCAGCCTTGCGCTTCAGGCTTGGCTCGAGACCACGCTTCGCGTGCAGGAGTTCGTCCTCCTCCTTCTTCAAATGGGCCAGGCGCACGTTGATCTCGTCGATCATGAGGTTCGCCTCCCTGGCCTTCACCTTTTCGGCGAGTTCCGCCAGAGTCACCTCTAGTGTTTTCCTGCTATGCGTTTCGAAGCCTATTTTCAGGTCTCCGGCTTTGATCTCGGACACGTCCTCACCCTCACCCTGCTTCATGGAGTTCTCGGCCTGCTGCTGCGTGGAGTTCTCGTCCGGCTGCTGCGTGGAGTTCTCGTCCGGCTGCTGCGTGGAGTTGTCACCCATGGAGTTCTCCGACGGCTGCCGGGAGTGCTTAGCCAACTGCGTGGAGGTCAAGAACGGGGTGTTCGCATACCAAAACTCCTTGGCCAGACACATACACACACACAGACACATGCGCGCACGCAGCAGAATCATGGCCTCCCAGGCTACCTGCTCCTGTTTCACTTATCGAGCAATGACGGATGATTACGCTGGTGTGAGGAACCAAGGCGCGCAAACAGGTGAAGTCTGGTAATCGAAATGGACGAGATTGGATGGCAACTTGTCGAACAGGAATGCTGTCACCGGAAACCTGGCTCTGGCTCTCACAGCGTTGTTCTTCTGCTGACACTCACTTGTGACCAACAAAGCTAAGCAACTCCAAGCGCTGCCCATTGAACGCCAAGAAGGACGTCCAAGCCAGCTGGTCCTGCGAACCATAGTACATCTGCTTCGCGACGCAAGGGCGGTCACTCTTCTTCATCGTTGGCGGAAACCTGTTTCGAGAGATCCTACTTGACCTGTATGTGAATACAGAGCTTACTTCGAGCGAGATTCCACGAGCCATACTTACGTCGTGCGTGCCATAATTCCAATCAAGTGGCAACGCATTCTTGAGAACGTTGCTAGACACCGTCTCGTGGGCGGGTGTCTCCAAGTCCAGCTGAAGCACGCACCAGGCAGCCTTGGATCTGTCCACACCTTCAATCCTGGTGTTCACCGTCATAACATCCAGCGAGACGTTCGGGGTCAACCTCTTCAGCACAAAAGAGCCGTCATCTTGAACGTGTATCTTCCTTAGTTTCGATGCTCTCTTCTTTTCTGCTTTCCCAACACAACTGTGACCACTGCAACCGGGTGTCTTGCTTTCCACGAGGCTCTGCAAGTGCTCCTTTGGAACCCTGGCTTCCACAATCTGGAATTGGCGCATCTCAGTCACAATCATCAACCCTCGGCGATTTCCCATTCGCAGATTGTGCCCAGCCACATCGGCGGCATTGGTCGCCGTCACCCTGTAGCCGAGCCTGAGATTCCACGAAAAGGACTCACTTCAGATCACACGCTGGCACAAAGCAGTGGCTACATAACACCCAGTCGTCGTGCAACCCAAGAACTGCCGAACCCGTTGCTTCGACTGTTTCGCGACGGCCTCACCGATGGTGGGAACGAAGAGCGCGGGCAGGTGGCTGGGATACAGCGACTCACCGGGGAACAGCATGTAGCCCAACATGTTGATTGTCGTTCAAGACAGCAACAAATGCACGCCGAGGACAAAGGGGAGGGCACTGCCTGTACTCGAAGCTGCGGCTGCGATGCACATGAGCTGGCATGTAGACACTCTGACCGTCTGAGATACGTGTTCAAATGTCGCAATCGAAGGCCATCAAGATTTCAAGACCTGGTCCATCTGGTGGTTTTACCATAAATACTATACCCAGCATCCAAACATAACTAAACCTAAACCCCTTGACATGGACCTATAGCTCTGAGACAATCATCCGCCCAAGCACCCGGAACCTGACCTGCCATCAATCAAGGAATGCCCAAACCCACAGGTGTCGAGTGCCCAGCACTCACTCTGGCGAGGTGAAGAGTCTGATGACCTGAGAGCAGGAGCAAGTACGGTCAATATCCATGGGCATGTGGAGTTCACATGGTTCACATTCCATGGCCCTCCTGCTGCCAGAATCCATGAACCCGGACTGCTTTTGCGGTATGTGCCTGCTCAGCATGCAATGAGTCCAAGGCCCGAGCAATGTGTCTCGATGAGGCCAGATCCTGGCGGCAGCGGAAAGAAGCCAGCAAAGCAGGGCACTTTCACACGTCAAGTGTACAAGGGAGCTCTGGGGAGCTTCGGCTTTGCACTCCTTCCAGGCACTTTAGACATTACTTGAATCCCTCATGACCAGCTCTGCACTTGCGAAAACCGCGCAGGAGTTTGCCCCAGAAGGATAATCAAGTTAGCAACTGCGGTTCTTACCCCTTTCAAAGCGTCAACGCACTACCTCCCTTGCGGCGTGGCCTTGTCCAGCAGCCAGAGCACCTGCGAGCATCGCAGATTGCATCAGTGGCACAGTGGCTGCAAGGAGCACCGCATGCAAATCACTCGCGGCAGCAATTCTTTTCTGAGAGGTCTGCGGAGGCCATTGGCTTCAGAAAGGACCCCTTGCTTTTGCAGCTTCTGCAAGCACGGATTGGATAAGCCACCCTAATGCCGCAAGCTAATCTAAAGCTGGAAGTCACCCTAAAGCTGGAAGTCGCCTGAAGCTGCAAGTCACACTAGAGCTGGAAGACGGAGGATGGTCATTTTGCAGCTTCTGCAAGCACAAATTGGATAAGCCACCCTAGTGCCGCAAGCTAGTCTAAAGCTGGAAGTCACCCTAAAGCTGGAAGTCGGCTGAAGCTGCAAGCCACCCTAGAAGATGGAGGAGGGTTTTTTTTTGCAGCTTCTGCAAGCACAGATTGGATAAACCACCCTAGTGCCGCAAGCTAGTCTAAAGCTGGAAGTCACTCTAAAGCTGGACGTCGGCTGAAGCTGCAATCCACCCTAGAGCTGGAAGACGGAGGAGGGTTTTTTGCAGCTTCTGCAAGCACAGATTGGATAAACCACCCTAGTGGCGCAAGCTAGTCTAAAGCTGGAAGTCACCCTAAAGCTGGAAGTCGCCTGAAGCTGCAAGTCACCCTAGAGCTGGAACTCGGAGGAGGGCCAGGAACATTAAGGCTGAAAGGGTTATCTATTATATGACAAGGTGGCTAGTCTACTAGTCGTGGGACTAGTAACCCCTGGTTCCGCTAGGGATACGTCCTCCATCCCGAAAGGAACCAGGGGTTCCTGCCCTCCTCCTGCCGGTGCAGCGTGTGACACTCTTCCATGCTCCGGGACAGCAGCCACCCGTCCAATGACTGGCCCGGCCTGTTGTAGGCAGCACGGATCACCTGCATCCTCAGGAAGGCAAGGGAAGGACGGCGAAAAGTCCAGGATTCGCGGCTCTGTTTTTAGGGGCTGTGTGTGCTGCCAAGCTACATCAGGAGCGCGAGTCTCACCCTTCCGGGCTCACCGAAGTTCATGAGGTGCAGGACCGAGGTCTGTGTCACCGGAGCAGCGTTGACGTCCTGGAGGATCTCGATCCTGGGACGGTTCAAGCTGCTCTGAAGGCAAAGAAATAAAAGAGAGAGAGAGAGGGAGAGAGAAACAAAGAGAGAGAGAGAGAGAGCAATTCTCTGATGCAGAGCGAAGCTCACCACTTGGCGGAAGCCGGGATGATTGTGGAGGCTATTGCCTCTTAGATAGGCAGTCGCATCAAAATCATCGTCGCCTTTCTTGCCGCCCCCTTTACCACCATCACCTTTGGAGCCGCCACCTCCTCCTTTGCTCCCCTTACTCGAGCTGCCTGTGCCACCATCACCTTTGTGGCCGCGACCGCCCTGCTTTCCGGAGCCACCTGTGCCACCGTCACCTTTGCGGCCACCTCCTTTGGTACCGTCACCTTTGCCGCCACCTCCTTTACCGTCACCTTTGCCGCCACTTCCTTTGGTACCATCACCTTTGCCGCCACCTCCTTTACCGTCACCTTTGCCGCCAGCTCCTTTAGTACCGTCACCTTTGCCGCCACCTCCTTTGGTACCTTTGCCGCCACCTCCTTTACCATCACCTTTGCTGGGAACTCCTTTAGTGACAGCTTTGCTTATGGGCACAATCGCCCTACTGTGGCCATCACCCTTGGGGCCACCTTTTCCTTGCGCAGGGTCACCCTGAACACCACCTCCTCCTTGCTCACCGTCACCCTGGGGGCCATCTGGTTCATAAAACTCAGGAGCTGCACCGGTGTCTGCGTCATCCCGATCGCGGCCCATCTGGACTCAGCGGCCACTCACCGGAGTGCTGCTGGTTCCTGAGTTTTCACACACGTTCACTCTTTCAGTTGAAAAGGCTGCACAAGTGCATTCTCCCACACTCAGTAAAAGCGATCAAGACACAGCGCTTTGATCACCCTCTCCGAAGAGCTGATAATCCAGGAGGAGTTTTCAGCCTTGGCTGAGGTCCTCAAATGCCGAGCCAAGTCCGCACTGGCCTGCGGATGCAGGCAGTGGAGGAGGGCGAACACCTGAGATCATGCCAAGGTTCATGCCTTTCACTACAGACTACACCTCTCGATTAAGTGCATGTCATCTATGCGCCAAGCTGCCTGGGTGGCACCCCTGTCGCAGGAGTCACCGATAGCCCAGGCCTCTCTCTGCGGCAACACCCGAAGTGCGACGCTCATCGCACGTCACTGTCACTCTGAGATGAAATTTTGCGGCGGGGCTTCACCGTTCACCATGCTCAAGGCTGCTCACGTCAATGCGCAACCAATGACTGACCAATGACTCGACTCAACCGGCATGCAAGGGAGGGAAGTGGCACCTTCAGTCGTCACCCGGCCCAGGATCAATGGTCTGCTGGCCTGGAAGCGGCAGAGGAAGCAGGGCGAGCGATTATTACAACTGCGGAAACCTTGTTACGACTTCTCCTTCTTCTAAGTGCTATGCACACGCACTCGCACTCCAGACGAGGTCTCTCAAAGTGATAAGGTTCCAAAAGCTGAAAATCCTATAACCCACGTCACACCTGGGCCTGCCGCTGCCAGGCGGCCACCAGCAGAATGCCTGGGCTGCAGTCTGTGACTATCTAGTTCATTGTTGAATCACTAACCACCCTTCTAGTCATTAACAAGTCACCCTTGTAAGTTCATATCTTCATCACCCTGGCAGCTGTTTTTAAAGTACATGTATATGTGCATGTACATGTACATGCATGTGTATGTGTGCGGATGTGCAAGTGTGGTGGTGTGTGCATACATTTAAACGAAGAAATACATGTGTATGCGTGTGTGCATGTCTAATATGGGCATTCGCTTGCTTGCATGCATGCGGACATACGTACACCCAAGTTGCGACTTGCACCCTGACCCCAACCACATAAGGTATATCATACCGGTATTTCACCCGCAAAGCTGACCAAGTCGCACCGCAAGGAAGTTCGTCCGAAGCCAAACCGAAACTACAGGCAAACCCAAACCCCAGGGAACCGCGCACTCGTTCAACGCAGGCACGGCTTCGGAAAGGCTTGGGGTTCGGGGCTTAGGCTCATGTTTCTTGCCGGCCCGATGGTTTAGGGTTTAGGGTAGGGTGCTCACACTGACTGAAGTCGAAAGCAAGCACGTCTTTTTCAATCACCGGACCAATGGAGCTCGCGAAATCACCTGTGCCTTTGCTCCAGGTCCTGGTTCACCAATGGAGCTTGTGCCATCACCTGTGTTGCTGAAAAGCGAACCGGTCTTTGCCTCAACCAGCTCCTTCTCCGTCTTCTCGAGCTTCACCTTCACCTCTTGGAGCTCCACACGTAAGCCCTGGCGAACGTCGTACTCCGCTTCCTGGTTCCTCTTCATCTTCTGTCGTTCCTGCTTGTGCTCGTCCAAGGCTTTGAGAAGTCTCTTGTTCTCACCCTTGAGCTGGTCCAGGTCTCTTTCGAGGACTGCCGCCGTCTCCGCTAAGGCTTTGGCTTTGTCACCCTTCATCTGGTCGATCACCTTCTCGTGCTCGCGATGGATCCTGGCGATCTCTTTATCATGGAGATCTTGTTCCTTCACCCTGCGAGCCTCGGCAGCGTTCAACTCATTGGTTTTCTCCTCCTTGCAAGCCTTCAGCTCATCGTCCTTGGCCTTCAAGGCGTCTTCCAGCTCCGTCACCCTTTGGGTCGCCCAAGAATACATCGATCCCCTCAAACGTGACGTTGTGGTCCCTCAGTGCAGGGCTGAAGGCTATTAGATTAGGCGTTTGATTTGGAGTTTAAAGTAGGGGAAACCGAAAATCATTCAAATCAGTCCAGTCACCCTTGCCCTTGCCCGTGGGGTTGTCTGTGTCACCCTTGCCCTTGCCGGTGTCGCCCTTGTTGCCTGAGTGCAGGATTAAAGACTGTTAGGCGTTTGGTTTCGAGTTTAAACTAAGTAGGGGAAACCCACAAGCATTGAAATCAGTCCAGTCACGGGTGTCTGTGTCACCCTTTGCGGGGTGTGGGCCATCGCCCTTGCCGAAGGCCATATCACCCTGAAAGCTGTGGAGGAAGTCACCTTTGCCAAAGCCAGGGCCGTGCCAGTCACCCTTGCCGAAAAAAGGGTCGCCTTGAAACGCATCGTAGTGCCAGTCACCCTTGCCGAAAAAAGGGTCGCCTTGAAAGGCATCGTAGTGCCACTCACCTTTGCCGAAAGAAGGGTCGCCTTGAAAGGCATCATGCTGGAAGTCACCCTTGCCGAATCCAGAAAAAAAAGGACCATAGTCGCCCTTGAAGCCATGGCCGCCTTTGTAGGGATGGTAACCCCGGTCCATGGCGACGGCTCTTCAAATGAGGCTAGCACTTGGAACTCTTCAAATGTTGGCCCACATATTAATCACTGCCCTTTCCCTCGTCACTAGTGTTAGTGTCGGCCCTTGACGATGAATTTTCGAACCTTGAAAAACCTTTCACAGTTGACTCATGCATGTTTGAGCACAGAAGATTCTGCCGAGTGTCGGTGCAGTGCTCTGCAATCACTCAATCAGCAGCGCAGTGCAAATGTGAGTGCTAATGCAGCCGAGGATACGCAAAAATCACCCTGGAAGCGATGAAGCCGCGGCGCAGCCTGCAGCAAGTGGGGGAATGAAAAGGTTACACGACAACCCTAATTGAGTCACCAGAAGCCTGCAAGTTCACATACGGAAAGCTTGTGACGATTCTCGTTCCTCTAAGTGATACGGTTCATGACATTTTCCAACACAACATCCAGAAGCTGAGCAATGTGTCAGTCCGCATAACTCACCGAATCATTCAATCTGTCGGAGTGAGGGGCAGTGTACCCAAAGGGCAGGGACATAATCAGCACGAGCTATGACTCAGACTCTATAACCCCACAGGCCTAGTTCACTAAGGCTACCAAAAACCAGACTTCCGCATGTTCACGGAAACCTTGTTACGACTTCTCCGAGTGCTAAGGTTCATGAAAATTTCCAACACAACATCCAGAAGCTGAGCACTGAGCCAGTGACGGGTGGGGTGTACAAATGGCCTGGCAGGGACGTCATCAGCACGAGCTTATGAATCACACCCGAAAACCCACAACCCCAATTAATTACGGCAACAAGCCGCCCTTCTGCAGGTTCGCCTGCGGAAACCTTATTACGACTTTTCTCCTTCCTCCAAGTGATAAGGTTCATGAAATTTTCCAACACAACATCCAGAAGCTGAGCACTGCGCCAGTCCCAAGAATGCATCGAATCGGAGTGACAGACGGGCGGTGTGTACAGAGGGCAGGGATGTAATCAGCACGAGCTATGACTCACACAACCCCTACGGAAACCTTGTGACGACTTCTCCAAGTGATGAGGTTCATGAAAGCTTCCAACACAACATCCAGAAGCTGAGCACTGCGCCAGTCCGAGGAATTCACCGAGTCATTCAATCTGTCGGAGTGACAGGCGGTGTGTACAAAGGGCAGGGGCATAATCAGCACGAGCTATGACTCACACAATCCCACAGCCCTAGTTAGTTAAGGCTACCAATTTCAAAAGCCTCCCTTCTGCAGGTTCACCTACGCAAACCTTTTTTCGACTTCTTCAAGTGACAAGGTTCATGAAAGCTTCCAACACAACATGCAGAAGCTGAGCACTGCGCCAGTCCGAAGACTTCACCGAATCATTCAATCTGTCGGAGTGACGGGCGGTGTGTGCAAAGGCCAGGGACGTGATCAGCACGAGCTATAATGACTCACTTACTAACTAGGACTTCCTCCTTCAAGATGACGATGCATTTTAGACAGATTGCAGTATTACACGGCCATGTCGTGCAAGAATGCAAACTCGTTGAGTGCATCGGTCTGGCATGGTGCACGTGCAGCCGACGACATATTAGAATTTCACAGACCTGGGATTGCCTCAAAATTCCTTGATTCCTTGTGTTACACACACAATGACAACCCGAACTCCGACTCATCTGCGAACCCCCCCCCCGCCCTCCCGCACCCGGATATTCACCCTCCCAACCTTCCAATCTACTTGATTCGGCTCTAGCCCTGCACCTACACTAAAACCTACCTACAGTCTACTCACCCTCTAGGTAGCGGCGAATGTCGCATGCCGTTCTACTCTACACCTACACTAAAACCTACCTGCAGTCTAGTCACCCTACACTAAGGTAGCGGCGAATGTCGCATGCCGTTACACCTACACTCAAATCTGCAATCTAGTGACCCTACACTACTCTAATTAGCGGCGAATGTCGCATGCCGACCTACCCGACACCCTACCCTACCTTGACAAGACTAGTGTCTAGTCACCCTACACTAGTTACCGGCGGATTTCACGTGCCACCCTACCCTATCCTACACCTACACCTAAAAGCTTGACTCCCTACCCTACACTTGAAAGACTAGTGACACTACTTTACTTTAGTTACCGGCGAATTTCACGTGCCACCCTACCCTATCCTACCTACACCTAAAAGCTTTAAAATTAAAACTAAACAATCTAGTCACCCTATGCCCTATGCAAACGCACCCGGCCTCGTCGTCGTGGCACGCCGGTCCAGGGCGAGAAGGGGGGTTTGGGGTTTAGGGTTTAGTAATTTAGGGTATAGGGGGCCTGGGGTGGAATCAGGAGTACAGGGTTTCACCTTTTAAGGTTGGAAAACGGAGCCTGCGTGAGCTACGGGGCCGATCGATGTGATGACTTAACAAACGTCTGAGGTTAGGGGTTCTACTACTGTATTTAACTACATATTAGGAGGGGCATCTGCTGCTCACTCTTGGGGGGGCAAAAACATAAGCCA